CCACGTTTTGAAGATCCCTTGAGCGGTCGTCTTAGACAGGTTTCACTGTATACCCGACTCGGAGCTACCAAGTTATTAGATTATAATATAAATATTATTTATCTTCAGACGGGAGCGAAATAGATGTACATTCGGAGGGGGATAAAACCCGACATAATCTACTTTATAGCGATCACTCTCAACAATAGCACGTTCTGTTCGTTATGACTGACCGGTTTCCCTGTAAATAACACCATTATATCCTCTGCTACCAAATGTTACGGACTAACGTGGTCCCGCAAATGACCATCGACGAATAGACCACGAAACACAGAGAAACTCATTCAATTTCGAAAGAAAAGGTGTCAGCACCGACGCAATCCACACAGTCAAGTAAGCCAATTTAGTAACCGAACGTTTTCGTTCCCTTCTCATCATGGGTAAATACAGTGAATAATGGAAAAATTGTCAAAATACAGCAACTTATATAGAGCTACAACAAAAGCATAGATCGAGAACCTCACGCTATATGTGTGGAAAAAATAAAATTCAGCAGAACAGGTCAAAGACAGTGTGAAGGTGAAGAAATGACCAAAACATAATGAAAACATCAGTGAGGAGAAACATTCCTGACACTTTCACGAGGATTAGCGCCAAACAACTGAAGTGACAAAACATTTTCCTTCTGAACACATAGTTCAGGGTACAACTTACGGATATATAACGCTTCCAAAGCTTCCAAAACAGACACATGTAATACAGATCTGCCACGGGCCAAAACTGAGACAACATCATCTCTGTACAACTCACGGCAACTATCACTAACCGACAGATGACTCTTGATAGCCGACTCAAGCTCATTCACATCGACATTACTACTCGTTTCAATACGTTTGATATCTGGCACACTGTACTGGAACTTGAACATGTCGACATCGGCCAGCCATAGGACGCCGAGAGTTTTGATGGTCGGTAGCTTCTCGTCCGTTAGCTCGAGCTGACTAGCACGATCAGCTTGCGATATGTCAGGCAGAACCTCTGCTGAGTTGGATAGCCACTTCCGAGCATGCATGTTGGCTTGGCTCTAGAGAGCAGTCAGATCCGTGTACAAGGATTTAGCTGCTGCGACATCAGGTGCTGAAGTCATGCTGTCGTCCATGTACGTAGAGTCCAACACGACGCTAGCTTCTTGCGGCATCTCTGTGCTGAGAGACCTGGTATGCTGTTGTGACATGTGCTGAGCCACGAATGAGACGCGTTTACTCCGAACACCACACTGCAAGATTCATACACCTCTGGCGGCTTGTCACGTTGAAGTAGCCAGTTGTGTGTGTTAGTGCACTGGTCCACGCCACACTGCTTGTCTCTTTTGCAGTCTCGTCCCTGGTGGTCGTAGCCAAGACAACGGTAGCAGAGCCGGTTCTGCCGGTTTTCCTTAGCGAACGTTCAGCGCTCGGTGACCGTCATTGACTTGAAGGAAGGACACTTTCACACTGGGTGCCGCTCTTCGCAGAGCACGTCAAAGCACGTCACCGGCCCTAGTGACGGCTTCGGCAATTCTTATCCACGACATCCAGCTCCTTGAACAGGTGGGTGTTTGCCTCCACCACCTCTGCCAGACTGAGGATTCAATTGACCCTTCTCTCACAGACTCCCACAGACCCAAGTCAATTTTTTTGTGGTTTAGCACGTGCTACGAGGTCGTACCTTTGATACAACATCCAGTGCTGGGACCTCCACAGCAAGCCATTTCCACAGCGCTGCACACCAAATCCAGGATACCCTCAAAAATCGGCAAAGACTACCACTCACGTTCCACTACTGCCTAGTACTGAATCCTACCTGACTTCTTGACACGACTCAAACTTGCCAAAGTCACTAAATCAACGTCAACTACAATAATCAAGCCACATATCTGCAACGTCACGAGGGTGCTGGCAAAAGTCCTGCTGCACGGCGGCGGGCAAAGCCTGAAGCAGGCAACGTTTTGGGGGTACGAGACAGCAGGGCAGGATCGGCTTGATGTTGGGGGGGGGGGGGGGGGGAGGGGAATCGGATGGCATAGTCGGGGTATCTGAGCACAGGAGAATGCAGTGGGCAGGGCGTTTAGGCTGCATTGCCTCATCTACATTTTCTTTGAAGATAAAACAGAGAGGTTCCAGGCTGTCCAAGAGAGTGCTCAATGCCGAGTGGCAGAGCTAGTTCAAATAATGGTAGTATTTTCTGATGATCGCTTAGTGCGTGAAATTTGGAGTAAAACACTTTTTCCGTCCTCTTATTGTTTTCTTTGAGGATAGGTTAGCTAACTCCACTACTCCACCATGCCCTCCTGGATATGGCTGAGCATAACAAAAGGTTAAAAACTAAAATCTATGTATGGTAGCGTAGCTTCCGGAACGTTTCCCGTGACCATCATTATTTGTTCGTTTCCATTGCATTCCATTGTGTGTGTGTATGTGTGTGTGTGTGTGTGTGTGTGTGTGTGTGTGTGTGTGTGTGTGTGTGTGTGTGTGTGTGTGTG